AACCTGAGAAACAGGGTGAAAATCCTCAACAAGCCAGGCGCACTGGTAATGAAATTACTATTTGAACAAATCAAAGAATGGGTTTTAAGAAAGAGTGTTTTTTCTTGTCAAGCAGACTGCAGCATCCAGGTTCACCTTGGGAAGCGCAAATGGTACAGGTGCGATAGAAAAAATCCAGAAGCACAAAAACATACAAAAACAGCACCACATACAACTTTAGCCTAAAAGTTTGGTTGCACCTCATTAGGCAAAACAGCCCGATGCCATTAATGGAAAAGAGCATCAAAGATTGCTGTATTTCTGAGGCTCTTTTCGGAGCTAAAAGTCAAAATCCTCCCCTTACAGATCTTCTAAGAGATGGCTATGCTTCAAAATAGCCTTTACTGGCAAAAGCAGTCACCCATCAGCAAGGCTTTCAGGGCTCATCTTCCGCGAACTGCTTGTAAGAGGGAGGTAGCCTTGGCTTCCTGTCGAAACGAATGAACGAATTGTAGAGTGACTGACAGAGTCCAGTCCTCGATTCTCAGCACTTGCGCAATATTACTGCCTGCCAGCTTTGAAACTTTATAACTGGCCAGTGCACCGATTGCGATGCAAAGATGCGTCTTTTGCACACTTTCCCACAAATTCTTGTGCTAACGGCACCGATTTTTTCTGGTAGATGCTTCTCGCTAAAAGAATTGAGACTAGCCACCATGACTGTGAGAAAAAATCCCCTTAAAATTTCAGCTTCCTGGCTTTTCTGGTTCCCGAGCTAGCAGCTTACTCGGTGAAAACTTTAGCTAGCATGTACGCAGGAATCACGCATACCTAGGGGCTGCGTTCCAACTCGTTAAACTCTACGTAGACGGGAAGTACACCCTTAAAATTTCAGTTTTCTAGTTTTTCTGGTCCCCAAATTAGCAACCTACCCCGCAGAAACTTTGACGGGCCTGTACATGGGACCCAGGTAAGTAGAAACGCCCATTTTGGGGATGGGAGCCCGTGTGTGCATGCAGATTAAGTTCCCAAAGTTTCAGGCCTGAAGCCTTTATAGGTCTTGTAATGAAAAATCAGTACAGACGAACATGCAGAAACACAGTTCAAATCAGTACAGAGGAACTCGACATTACGAGTTTTTACATTGCATGGCTGTAAAAAACGCATAAAAAAGTAAGAAAAAAAAAACGCATACACTTGCAATTCCACCGGTCTGCTGACCACTGTAAATAGTGGGCCACTGTTGCTGCAGTAACATGTGCTGGTTATAAAACGCATTTTGAGCATTGGTTGGAGCAGCCGACGAACTGCTTGCTCGTGAAATGTTCTGGAACACCCCCAATGTGATAAAAATTTGATAAAAAACAATTTAGCCAATAGAAAATTAGAGCTTTATAGTGTTATAGAAAGGCATAAGAAAAACAATCGGAACTGTCCCAACTTCGTTTTATTACTAATGATGAGAAAGGAAGGCAGCAATTGCGATAGTAC